AAAAAAGAAGAAGAATAAGAATATATGTAATGCGAATATTTACTGTGCCAAAACTTTTGTTCGACACTGTACATATAAAAAAAATACATGCAGTAACTTCTCCCGTTACAATAGTAAAAAATATGTAATTTGCTTTGTAGTGCAATCTTGCGGTTCTTTAAATAAAAAATAGATATCAGAAATTAATTTTTCGTATCAATAAACTCCCAAGCACAGGTTTGTATTAAAAAAAATACAGCCGTAACACTTTATTAAATATTAATCTGCATATTTTATTAATTCGTCGGAATATTTTTTTTATGTATGTTACCGGATAACTTGGGACTACGTTATCCGTTTTCTACAATTCTTTTTTAAAGGAAAGGTGGTTCCTCAGAGGTAGTTTCCTGCTAACTGAATGTAGATCCGATAATTGGGCCATAAAGAAAATAACGGTACTCTTAAATTTGTATATGAGAATTGAAGTCGGTTTTGTTTGTTGTTTAAAATTTACTCCAGTGTCCACAGCTTCTATAAAAGAGTCGTAGGCCTTATTTTTTTGTTAGTTCAATTGTGGAACATTTGTATGAACTGCTTCGGCTAATACTTCGGCTTTTGTTCTCTTTTTATATCGAGGCTAAGTGCATTGTTCGATGGGGTGATATCATTGCCAAACATGATAGTACTTTGTTTGCCATCAATTAACACTAACTTGACGGAGTTACAGTATTCTACATTGATGCGAGCCTCAAAAGCTTTGAATAATAATCGCGAGTATGGCTTTTAGTTTTTACCGCTCAGGTAGGTGACAGGCGTATAGAAAATATTTCTTAATCAATAATTTTTCAAATACTTTTCGTTTGATACCTATATTATTATACATACTTTATCTTATTAACTTTATTGAATTAAATTTTCGAAATTGGTGGCAACTCGACTCAAAAATATTTTCAGTAGTAAGCCTTCTTAAACCTTTTTAATTTGATACCCATATTGCAATATTTAATTTATCTTACCAATTTAATTTAATTAAATTTTGAAACAGGTGGCAACCCCCTCAAAAATATTTTCGCCTGTAAGCCTTCATAACCTCTTTCTTTTGACACCCATATTGCAATATCTAATTTATGTCATTAATTTACTTATACTGAAATTTTTAAACAGGTGCCAACTCTCTATTTTTTTCTCGTTTTAACCATCCGGATATTATAAAAAACAAACCAAAAAAATAAAAATATTCTAATCGGTCAAGCCGTTTTCGAGTCTTAGCGAGGCTAACGGACAGCAATTCATTTTTGTATATAAGATATCTTCTTTTAAAAATGCGCAGTCTCGAAATTGACTTTAGAGCTATGGTCTGGAGGAATTTTTTTCTTAGAATTTTGTGAAGAATCCGAATATGCTAGGAACAATGTCGAAAAAATCAATCCATACAAATTGACCTGCCCTAATATACATGTATGTATGTATGTATATGTGCGACTGATAATTTTTCACTTGTGTGCTTAAGGAATTTATGTACATAAGTACAGTATGTAAAGAAATCTCTAATTTGATATCATACATTTACAGACCTGTGGCAGGAGTAAGCAAGGGGCGCAAAACTTGCAAATCAGTTTGCAGTTTTTTTACGTTAAATTTCCACAGTTCGTGTATTGACATGATTTAGATGCCGGCTCAACTCTACACTTTTATTTTATTTATTTATTTTTTTAATAATATTTTTAGTTGCACCGCGTGTCAATTTTAGTTTGTTCTGAGGTTTTTTTTTTCTGAATCACGTTTTGCATGCAAGTTTAATTCGCTAATATTGGCCGGTGAGAGTGACCCACTCGCCGCCCGAAATCACGAGTGAGTGATCGCGGTGCCAATTAACTAAATTCATTGAACCTCTCCTTAGGAGGTGGATGCTAAATTTATATGTATGTATATAGGTACGCTGTTGATGACATTTCCCACAGGTTCTCTACGTATGCTGGTACCAACATCGCTGGAGTGACCAGGTGAGTGTGTTTTTGTTATTTTTGCTACTTCTTTCCCCGTTATATTCGAAAAAAAGTACTCCACATACATATATATTCAGTTGTAATTATTTATTTTGTTTTCTTCTGGTAACTATATATGTGTGTATAAACATACATATATAGGTTTAAATATATACAACGAGCTTATCATAGGGTCGCGGTAATACAAATTAATGTTTTCACTAGTTGAATTGTGGTAGGTCATTAAATAATAATTTTGGTTAGGTCGGTTGGTTTTTTTTAGTTACTTTTGCTTTATTTGAATCTACAAGTAATTTCGAATACGATAGTATTTGTAGCGTTATTTTTCTTAGTTTATTTTTCATGCGCTTTACTTGAGCTTATTTTCTAGGTTAATTCAATGAACTAATTAAAGGTGACTTATATTTTATTAGATTAAGGGAATACATACTAAATAAAATTTTGTGTGTACAAGATGAATCTAAGTGGTTGAGACGGATGTAATGGCAGTAATGAGGGGTTAAACTACAAGTTTTTGGTGTGGGTGTTGCACTTGTGCAACAGAGGGGACGTGGGAGTGATGACTGGGTGAAGTGGCGGACTTTGGATAACTGACTGCCGACAGACGAACTGAAGCCAGGTAAGGGGGCATCGCTCGGTGTTAGGAGTCAAATCGGTGCCCAAGGATTCACGCAGGACTGCGTTGAAGTGGGTGGGAGACTCAATCTGACTGGACAGACACTTTTTTTCTCTTCATTGTTTTTCGGTTTCCCTTTCTTTTCACACAGGCATGATACAAACTTTTTTTTTGTTGGTGTAACTGGTAGCGAAGCTGGTGAAGACAACCCAACCCCCCCCAACCGACTAGCTATGCCAGGGCACGCTAGCATGCCTGCTTGCCACTTCGCTTTGCAACAAACACACGGTTACACAACAATCAATGAAGGTATTGGCCCAATGCACGCTTGCTTTGCTTACTTTAGTTTGCTTTGCTTTACTTTGAAGGCTTTTATGGCCTAATGGTAGCTTTGAACGCTGTCATAGTAGTCAGCTGATTTTCAATGCGCGCAAATATACCCGCCATTCTTTGTTGTGCCAGCAAGTATAATTGTGAATTTTAGTTAAAATATATGTTATTAAACAATTATTTGTTACTAAGAACATTATTTTTTACAGATACCTTGCTTTTTTATCGTTCCGGTTTTGGTGAAGCTGCATTTGGCTGCGCCACTCACCACCCGTGTTTATAAGACGTAATATTCAATTGGAGGTAAAAGAGTTTATATTAAACAATTATTTGTTGCTAACAACATTATTTTTTTTCAGATACCTTGCTTTTTATCGTTCCGGCCACCAGATTCGTTGGTTTTCATAAAGTTTCATTTGGCAGTACAAAATGTTGACTCGAAATGCTGAACAAGTTTTGAGAATTTTCCTAATTTTAGCGAAAATGCGTAAATTAAAAGTGCGATTAAAACAGAAGCGCCGATTTTGGGTTCGGAAATTGTACTTAGAGCGACACAAATATGGATTGTTTGAAAGTTCATTAAGAAACTTGGCTGCAGATGAGGAGCAGTTTAACAAGACATTAAGAATGCCCTTTTCGTTATTTAATGTGCTGCACGAATTTCTGGAGGCTTCGCTGACCAAATATTCAATCAGAACACCAATATCGAGCCGCTGCAGACTATTTATAACCCTGATGTAAGAGAAAATCGGTTTTACTTAATAGTATACGTATAATTTTCCATATATGTATCTGGTTTTATTTTTTTGTTGCAGATATTTGGCTCACGGTGGCACTCGGCAATTCCACACAATAGTTCACAGGATCGGCCTGACGACTTTCAGGAAGATTACGTTGGAGACATGTATGACCATATGGGATCTGTTAGCTGACCTGTATGTGGCGACCCCGTCAGAAACGGAATGGGGACGTATTTCCAATGAGTTCAAGTCGCTGTGGAATATGCCCAACTGCGTTGGTTCCATCGACGGAAAGCACATTAATATTACCTGTCCAGCGAATTCAGGGTCGATGTACTATAATTACAAAGGCAATTATAGTATCGTGCTTTTGGCCGTATGTGATGCCAATTATACCTTTACCTGCGTTGCCATCGGAGCATATGGAAGTCAAAGCGATGGCGGTGTCTACCACTTTTCAAAACTGGCAGATGCTATTGAAAATGATAGGCTCGGCCTTCCACATGATCAGCCTCTGCCAGGAGAAACCGAGCCATTTCCACATTATTTAGTAGGAGATGCTGCTTTTCCCTTACGGCGTTATTTAATGCGACCATATCCGGGTAGAGGTATTCCAGAAGAGCAAGAGTATTTCAATAAAAGACTCTCTCGTGCAAGAAGAGTTATAGAAAACGCATTTGGAATACTCACTTCTTAGTCTTTTAAGTAATATGTTTCTTTTTAAGGTACTTAAGTATTGCCTATTTATAAAACAAAAGTTGTTACAAACAGTCTATTTTAAATAATAGGGCTGTTCAGGATCTTGTCCATAGGATCTTGCATTTACATATTTCAGTGCATTTTCACAACGAAACATGCTCAATGTAAAAATTATAAAAATTGAATTTAGGAAATTTAAAAATTTAAATGACATCCAGTTTGATTTCAATTTTGCGAACTTAATATGTAATCTAATTTAATATGTAATCGAATTTAATATGCAATCTCACCGAAAATGCTTGCTACAATTTCATTGTTTCTAATCAAACACAATTGTACAATTTTTTATAAAAAAAATATCCAGGTTATTTATTTAAATGTCTCGTAACCGCGTAAGCCTCGTAAACTTGCATCGAAAACCACGCGTTTGGAATAATATCCTGAATATTTTCTTAAAAAAAATGTACAATTGTGTTTGATTAGAAACAATGAAATTATAGCAAGCATTTTCTGTGAGATTGCATATTAAATTCGATTACATATTTAATTCGCAAAATCAAAATCAGATTTCATACTAAATTAGATTACATATAAAGTTCGCAAAATTGAATTCAAACTGGATGTCATTTAAATTTTTAAATTTCGTAAATTCAATTTTTATAATTTTTATATTGAGTATAGACGTATTGAAGTACGTCCATTTGAAAATCTAGGCGGCTCTCTTCTGGGACCTTCTCAAACACTTCGCCAATCGCACCCAAGAAATTGTTGTGTGTTTTTTTTTGACTATCCACAAACTGACTTACTTCGTTGACTAGATCGTTAAAGGCGGCGTTCTCATCGTTTTTTTTCTTTTGTCTCTTAGCCGGCGTTGGGGCAGTGGTTTCTTGCTCTTCTATTATAATGTTCCCACTCTCGCCTATTTGGAATCCAAAGGAAGTATCCAGTATATCTGGTTCTTGTCCGAGAACTTCTGGCGTTTGGGAGACGATGTTTGTTGTTGTCCTTAAAATATGTACATATAAATTACAATTTAAAATATAAATACTTGTTGTACAAATGTAAAGTACACTTACTGTCTGGGCGTGACCGTGTCTTTCAAAAACAACATAGCTTCGTAATATGGCCAAGCTCGTCTAAACGACGCAGCACTTCCGCTAGGTTGTTGATCAACCTTCAATTCTATTCCATATCGGTCTCTTAACGATTTCCATCGCTTTCGGCAGTTTTCCTCTGTAAAGTAAAAATATAGTATTCGTCACAAATTTGTTATAATTTGGTTCGTCCTATTACAAAACTGCTATATGTTTGAAAAACTCTATACTAACCAGGATGTCCCACAGCAGCAGCTACATTTCGCCAAGCCAAATCTTTCTTCACCCGATCGCGGTAACTAAGCTGTCGTTTGTCCCACAAGCAGTTGTGTTTTTCAATCTCTGCTATAAGTTTTTCTTCGAACATCTTGCACTAAAGCTTCCGATATACCAACCAACACACAAGAATCGGATAATACAGCAGCCGGAACGATAAAAAAGTAAGGTATCTGTAAAAAATATTGTTGTTAGCAACAAATAATATTATTAATAACAAATAATTGTTTAATATAAACTCTTTTACCTCCAGTTGAATATTACGCCTTATAAACATGGGGGGAAGTGGCACAGGCAAATGAAACTTTATGAAAACCAACGAATCTGGTGGCCGGAACGATAAAAAGCAAGGTATCTGAAAAAAATAATGTTGTTAGCAACAAATAATTGTTTAATATAAACTCTTTTACCTCCAGTTGAATATTACGCCTTATAAACACGGGTGGAAGTGGCACAGGCAAATGAAACTTTATGAAAACCAACGAATCTGGTGGCCGGAACGATAAAAAGCAAGGTGTCTGAAAAAATAATGTTGTTAGCAACAAATAATTGTTTAATATAAATTATTTTACCTAAAATTTATGAAGAACGCGATAAAAACTGCACACAAGCAAAATCGACGCGAAAAATAGAGATTTCGGCTAATCGATACTTTAAAGCGCTTCAAGCAAGTGAAGTAAAGCTGCCACTAGGCCAACTTTCATACATTTTAGTAGATTTTAAAAATTGTTTGACAGTTCTCAAAGCCAAGCAAGCAAAGCAAGCGTGCATTGGGCCAATACCTTGACTCATTTCGTTGCACTTAAAGCATTTAAACTGCTTTTGCGAACACGTGAGCTTTGTCGCCACACTTAAAACACCTATCGACCAATTCCGCTTTTGGTTTTACACCTGAGCTGCCTTAATTTTAGCTGTATCGTTTGATTCTACTTTACCTAGAGCTACATTGGACCTGCGTATCTTTTCATAAATCGCCACTTATTCTTTTAAATGCTTGATACAACACAGTCTTGCTAAATTTATAATCTAGAATTCCCTCTATGAAATAATCTATAATGCTTGACTCCTCCAAATTAATCTGTTTGCCTATCTCCATAATACTATACAAGTATTCTCGAAACGTTTTATTTGCGCTCCTACGTCGATTCTTCATCATTTTATGTACTTCCGACGAAGACAATTTACAACAAAATTGGTTAATTAGTGCAGTTTTTAAAGATGCCCAACTGAATAACTCAGCGAAAGGGGAGTATGTTTGAATGTATTTATATAAAAACATATCTATTGGACCAAAAAGTAGTGGGTAGGCACTGCGGCCATTGGTAATCAACTATTACCACCTCTGCATGGTTGTAAGTTTCAAAAACCCCGAAGTCTTCTGCCTTTTCCAAGTTGGATAAGGAAGCAAAGCGAATGGGTCTGGTGGTAAAGACGAAGTATCTCCTGTCATCAAACAAACAGTCTGCACATTCGCGCCTTGGCACCCACGCCACATTTGACAGTTATAATTTCGAGAAAGTAGAGAATTTAGTTTACTTGGCAACCAGCATTAACACCGATAATAATGTCAGCACGGAAATCCAACGCAGAATCACTCTTGCCAACAAGTGCTACTTTGGACTAAGTAGGAAATTCAGGAGTAAAGTCCTCTCTCGACGTACAAAAACCACACTCTATAAGTCACTCTTAAAATGAAACGTGCGGGTTGAAAAAATGCACAAGTGGTTTAATTAAGAGTTCAAAGCACAGTAAAGTAAGAGAATGTACAGAAGATGTGATACAAGTGAATATTATTAGGGTTGCTAGATTAATACTTTCTAACACCCTCACTTATTGAATTAATTAATCATGTTATATAAAAAACTCAACTAAATTTAAGTAGTAAATTCGTGATTATTAATAACAATACCAGTTTTAATTCCCATTCCATCGACACAAAATAAGATCTTGTTTTTGGGTACCGCCTTCGTTAAACAATCAGCTATCATTCCCTCCGACGATATGAATCGAACGTCTATGGTTCCTGATTTAATGTGGTCGCGTATAAAATGGTAACGCACATCTATATGTTTAGATCTTGGCCGAAATGAGTCCGTTTCTGCTAAAGCCAAGGCAGACTGGTTGTCACAAAACACTTGTATAGCGTTCTGATCAATAGATTCGTCAAATTGTTTTCCGAATTGCCTTAACCATATCGCCTCCTGAACAGAAGATGACATAGCCATATATTCTGCCCCAGTTGTGGACAACGCCACTGTCGGTTACCTTTTGCTACCCCAAGATATAGCGCCACCAGATAACGTGAATACATATCCACTGCAAGACCGGCGTTTATCAATATCGGAAGCCCAGTCAGCGTCTGAGTAGCCCACGAGATTTTCGGATCTGCAGAAAGATAGTTTATAATTAGTAGTACCTCTAATATACCTAAAAATGCGCTTAACAGCGGCCCAATGACTTTTCGAATGCTTAGCGTTGAATCGACTAACATCGTTGACTGCAAACGCGATATCGGGACATGTACCCTGAGCCAAATACAACAAGCATCCTACCGCCTCTTGGTAAGGTACATTTACCAACTCCTCTTTGCAGATCTCGGCCGATAGCTTTTGGTGAACATCGCTCGGCGTGGACACAGGTTTCGAATTTTCCATACCAAACCTGTTTAGAATCTCATTTGCGTATTTCTGTTGGTCTAAATAAATTCCGTTATCATTATATGTGATATGAAATCCGATGCAGCTTTTGGCCACACCTAAATGTTTCATTTTAAATCTTGTCGTCAACTGCTTTACAAATTCGTCGCGAACTAAAGGGTCATCCCAAAACACCAAAATATCATCTACATAAATGGCGAGTATCAATTTCACGTCCCGTTTAAAAAAGACACATGAATCGGCTTTAGATCTCTGTAAGCCCAAAGATTGCAAAGTTTTGTCAAGCAAAATATTCCACTCTCTGCCACTCTGTTTTAGTCCATAAACAGCTTTTTGATGTTTGCACATTTGACCACTGTATTCACCGCAGCCGTCGGGGAGCTCCATGAAAATGTCTTCAGATAATTTGCTTTGTAAGTAGGCAGTAACAGCATCTAGCTGATCAATTTTTAGACCCAATTTGACGGCTAGGGCTATCAAGTATCGAATCGACGTATATCGCACCACAGGCGAGAAAGTCTGATGATAGTCGATGCCGAACTGCTGTGAGCAACCTTTAGCCACTAAGCGAGCTTTATGCCGGATTATAACATTATTTTCGTCGCGCTTAGTTTGGAAAACCCATCTTGATTTTATTGGTTTACGATCAGTAGGAAGTTCGCAAATTCTCCATGTCTCATTTTCCACAAGAGATCTTATCTCAGACTGCATGGCTGATTTCCAACTCTCCCAATCTACACTACGCATAGCTTCTTCTACTGTTTGCGGGTCGTTGGAAATTTCATGCAATGTCGCAAGGTGACTGACATACCCTTGAATAGAAAAATCACGTTTTACTGCATTTCTTGATGATTTCCTTAGTGATTGAGGTAACGAAATGTTTGCATCAGGAACGTAAGTTTTATCAGTAACATCGTTGAGTGTTTCCTCGACTGAGTCATTCGCACAATAAACGTCATCAGCGCTTTCATTATTTTCCAATCCCCTCACTGAAACTGGTTCTTGATCAGCGATTGGTGCAAACGAAACAGTTCTCGGCTCGCTCTCCACAAAAACAACGTCACGACTGATTACAATTTTGTTTGTTTCTGGATCAATACAACGATACCCTTTTGTGAAGTTACTATAACCGACGAAAATCATCTTTTGTGCTTTTCGATCCCACTTACGCCGACGTTGCTTTGGTATATGGACCATGATGGCAGATCCAAAAATACGCATATCACCTAAATAGACATTAACACCTGACCATAGTTTTTCTGGGATTTCCCCATTCAATGCCGAGCAAGGTGAACGATTTATTATATACACCGCAGTGTTCACAGCTTCGGCCCAATACATTTTACTAAGGTTGGCATCAAACAACATGCACTTAGCACGTTCTAGAATTGTCTGGTTATATCTCTCAGCAACCCCGTTTTGCTGGGGTGTGTACAATGCCAGATTTGCGACAGACCGATTCAAACTGTTCACCCACGTATTCTGTCCCATTATCAGTACGTATAACTTTAATTCTCTTACCGCATTGTTTCTCGACTAGTATTTTAAACTCCTTAAAATAATCAGCAACATCGGATTTACTTTTCAGGAGAAATACGAAGACTTTGCGGGAGTAGTCATCTACGAGTGAGAGAAAATACTTCGCACCACCAAAAGACATTGTCTCCATCGGCACACATATATCAGAGTGAATAAGCTGTAATAAATCCGAACTGCGGTTGCCAACATGCTTAAATGGCAGCCGTGATTGTTTTCCCTCGCAGCAAGCCGCACACCCCGCCAACTCACTTGCGTCGCCACTGAAGTACAGATTACTGTTTTTCTGATTTTTTAACTTGCATAGATCTGCGTAGTTTAAATGGCCTAAGCGGCAATGCCACGTCATTACACTAACATTTGCTTTTGCCAGCATGCAAGAGATCGGTTGAGTACGAAGTTTATATACGCCCGAAAAAACTTTAACGTTGGCTATCAACTCTCCATTTTGACTAATTATTTGACAGCTGCCCTTGTTGAATGCGATTTGGTTCCCATTAATGCTCTGTAATGCACTCATGAAGGTCCCACATCTCCAAAATGCTTTCCATTGCGAACCGCCACGTATGGAAATTTTCACTTCCGCGCAGCTTCTCAACCACTTGTAACGAAGCTTCGGCCATTGCCATTTTTACCCTCTTAACAACGAATGTTTTTTTTTTTACTACGCTCGAAATTTTACTTTAAAACAAATTAGCAAAGTATGCTTTTGTTATTGAAGTTTTAATCGACTTTATACAGACACGTGGGCAGGGCCCATAACCTCTTAAAATGAAAAGAGCACAAGTGGTTTAATTAAGAGTTCAAAGCATAGTCAAGTAAGTGAATGTACAGATGATGTGATACAAGTGAATATTATTAGGGTTGCCAGATTAATACTTTCTAACAGTCACTCATCATACCCGTGCTGGTATATGGCGCAGAAGCATGGACAATGACAACATCCGATGAAGCGGCTCTTGGAGTATTCGAGAGAAAGATTTTGCGGAAGATTTACGGGCCTTTACGCGCTGGCGACGGCAAGTACCGCAGACGATGGAAAGATGAGCTGTATGAGCTTTTCAACGACATGGATATAGTGCAGCGAATTAAAATACAGCGGCTCCGTTGGCTTGGTCATATTGTTCGTATGGACACCGAAGCTCCAGCTCTGAGAGTATGAAGAGGGAGGCCCCCACTGAGATGGAGAGACCAGGTTGAGAAGGACTTTGCTTCACTTTTCGTTTCCAATTGGCGCCAGTTGGCACAGAAAAAAACGACTGGCGTGCTTTGTTGAACTCGGCCAAAATCGCTTAGGCGGTTACAGCGCCAAATAAGAAGAATTTGAGAGGTGCATGTGCAAAAATATCATTAAATTAATAAAGTCAATTTTTGCACATGCAGCAGTAAATATCATGCATTTAGGCATCTAATGTTAGCAGTCGCGCCTAAACATAGAGCCCCCCCTAGACGACTTGGTCGTCTAGTGAATGTGACATAGCCGCAAATATCCGGCTCGAAGGACCACGAATAACTCAGCGAAAAGGGAGACCAGTATGTTTGTTTATTCTTCATATTTTATGTACGCTCATATTCTTAGA